AGAGTCAGCTCAGTTCTCCTGCCAATTCCACCGCGTAGTCCAGATATGAACCCAATAGAGAACTTTTTTGGAATTGTCAAAGCCCGTTTAAAGATGGACGCAATAGAAAGAAACATCGAAGTTGAAACAATGGACGAATTTGAGAATAGAATACGATGCATAATGAAAGATATACCCCTAAAAACTACAAACTCTATAATAGAATCGATGAACAAAAGAATGAAACTAATTATTGAAAATAGAGGGGAACGACTCAAGTATTGATTTGTAAACGTGTATATGTAGATTTTGTATTCTTCGATATGTAACACTTTATTGTGTATGAAATTATTGTTCTGTCTGAAATTAAACTGCCTCTGTTCAAAACAAAACTTCTAAAATGGCTGCTTTGCACAAGATTATCAAGTTTTACCCAAAATAAGGTGGAAGTTGCGTGTCTAACCAACAAATAAAAAAGAAACTACCAACGATTCACCAACGGTTCACCAACGATTCACCCACGGTTCACCAATTTTTTTTTGTTACCTTAAGTACTGGCTCTGACGGTTCACCAACGGTTCACCACTGTTTATAAAGAATACTACTATAAACCTTATATACTTGTGGTGAATCGTTGGTGAATCGTTGGATTCCGTACTTAAGCCTATAATTACTGGATGGTGAATCGTTGGTGAACCGTTGGTGGATCGTCATGAACGTCACCATCACGAAACACAAGTGACACACGAGTGCCTTTTAATTCAACAGGGGCCTGCGATACTCATTGGGAATGTGGCAATGAACAAACTTCTGTAAGCGAACCTCGAAATATCAAACAAAGCCTATCTTTGTAATGGTATTATCATTTAAATTTTCATGCATGAAAGTACTCAATATAAAAAAGTTAGAAAGTAATCAATAACAACTAAGTTATATAGAATAACTAATTGAAAGTTATCAACTTGCAAAGAGTTGCGTGAGAGTTTCTAGGCATCTGAGCCGAGCATCAACAGTTCTGCAAAGCAGCGTTTGCATTTAGGAATGACTCTTACGTCTCTTTCCTCAATTTGCCAGTGAAAATTGAAGTATCTCCACCGACAGTCCATCATTTCATTCTCCCGCTCATCGGTGCTGTTGTAACGGCCAGGATACCGTATCTGTTCTTTTCCTGTTGCAAAGATGGGGGTGTCTCTATCGAACATAATGTCCTTGGCATAAGTGGACTTTGGGGCTGCAAAATGGATAGTTTGCCCCTCGAGAAGAAGCAACATATCTTGCCAGGCCAATATTTCTTGCGAGTAGCGAAAGTCATTCAAAAAGATGACATCTACATTCTCTGCGCCAAGCCAAGCATAGCTAGTACTGGCAGGATTAGTAAATACCCTGAACATATCGTTAAGGGGGTCGAGCATGAATGTTTTTCCGCAGTTTGCTGGACCCACAATCATGATATTACGATGTTTGCCGCGACCTTTCGTCAATAGCTCCCTAACAGCATCGGCAAAACTGAAGGCATTGACCCCATTGTTTCTTAAAACCTCTCTGGCACAGTTTAGCCACAAACCACCACACAGATGGGCACAAGGTTCCAAAAGAGCTTCCCTCACAATGGCCATTCGCGACATTGTATTGCGTGAAATAATAGCTGATGCATTTTGCATTTTCCACACACTCTCGATCAGCTCGTTTCTGCATTTGGCGGGTTTTCCCAAGACAAAGTTGGCCAGGTCCACCTTTCCAAGGTCTTTTTGCTCCTTCGCAAGAGCCAAAAGTGCGACGTCTTCCTTGATGTTTTCTTTAACTACTAGTTCGGCAACATCGAAATTCGACAGTCTCCGTGCCTTTGGCAAACTAGAAGGGCCTGAAATTACCAAGCCAGAATGTTCCTCTCTAGAACGAGAGCTGCCAGCTCGCATCTTACTGGATTTGGATGTGCGAGGTGAACGGCCAGAAGACAAATCAGGGTGCCCGGGGCTGTGCAATGCATTAGAATCTTCCTTTGTAACGTATTTATATGCACTGTAGTAGTTATGGTGCATCTTGTCTGCAAAGTGCACCGAAATTCCATGTGCGTGAAGTAAAAATCGTTTTGCAGCAACGAAATTCCACCGCTTATTCCCCGACAGCAAAATTGCCATGTGAAAATGAAAGCCACCTTGTTCCACCTGGTGCTGTTCCTCGCAGCATACCCAGTTTTTTACCGCAGCCTTGGAACTTCCCTGAGAAAATGCATCTACTATTGCATCTGCAAACGATTGTCTTGTTGGAAACTTTATCCTATCAGCCTGGCTATACGTGACGATATAACTTCGCCTTGCAGCTCTCGAATTAAGTTCACTTCCACAATCAGCGTCAGACATGGTCGGAAGTGTTTAAAGACTGATTGTAAAACCGTGTGTTGCGTTTCAGAAATTGTCCTGTCGACCCTTGCATCAATACTTTTAAAAGGTACGTACTTGTCAAATTAGAATTCCGAGGAAAATCCGCCGAAAAAGTGGAAGAGCCGCAAGGTACACTTCAGAAAAGATAATTGATGATTTCTTGATACCACGAAATCACGATAGCAAACAGTTCCAAAAAAAGTAAGCCGTCTCCTTATCTCCACAATACCTGCATGCAAACAGGATTACACCACCCAGAATATCTAACCCATTACTCTACCTTGCAGAGGTCACGGAAAAACGCACCCCAGAAAAGTCTGAACAGACAACAGAGTTACACAGACTCTCTAACTCAAAAGTATAAAACTAGCCTGGCTGAAGACACCCTTGGCAAAAAATGCTGAGACACTCGCAGAAAATTGAGCTAGTTTCAAATCATCCAGCCCCCGTCCCCCCAATTCAATGTTGTGATGAGAGTAATTCTGCTCGCGGTCATGCCCAGTTATACCGCAATCATAAAACCCAACATTGACATCGGGGGGAAGGGGGTGTGGGCTACCAGAGCATGTTATATAATAAAAAGACATGTGACTTCACTTTTTGAAAAAAAGTCTCAGCTATTTTTTGCCAAGATTGTCTTAATATGATTGTTACAAGGTATCAAGTTGAGTTGGTGTATTTTTGATTTTTTAAAAAAAGGGTACCAATTAATGCAATGATTAACTGTTGCTATGAATACGAGGCTATCAATGTCCATCAAAATCTCACGTGACTGTAGTTGTGACGTATGATTAGAGGAGAAATAAGTTAAGAATGTACAGTATCGTTAGCTTCTCAAATCGTTATAATGGGGCGTGTGCGACCGGTATCAACAGAAATTCGTGCATATATTAAGTTTCGAAAAGGCTCAAAGGTGGATGATTTGATAAAGGAAACTGGAGTGTCGCGCTCCCATATATACAAAATTTGGGCGAGTTCTTTCAATTCAGAAACAAAAAAGGAGCCTGTACAGAAACAAACAAGAAAACGTGGACGGCCAGAAAAACTATCAAGAAGAGATAAACGACGAATTCTCAGACTGGTAGGCACATTACGAAGGCAAAATGCAAACTGGACCGTAAAAAGGCTAATGGCCAGGGCCGACCTACTGGATGGAAGAGTGGCGAGAAGAACAGTTTCACATTTTCTAAATAAAAATGGATATTTCTATCTCCAGGCCCGTAAAAAGGGGCTTTTGAGCGAAGCTGATAAACAAAAGCGAGTCCGGTTTGCCAGAAATATGCTGCAATTCTACCCAGAAGATGTGTGGACACAAAAAATTGCTTTCTATTTGGACGGGGTTGGCTTCGTTTACAAAAGAAACCCACGAGACCAGGCCATGGCACCAGCTGGTCGAGTATGGCGAATGAAAAAAGAGGGACTTCTCCAGGGCTGCACTGCGAAAGGACAGGCATGCGGAACAGGAGGGAAATACGTGAAGATGATAGTTGCCATCTCTTACGACAAAGGGGTCATAATATGCCAAAGATACGAAAAAATGACCGGAAACTATTTTGCAGGTTTTCTGGACGAGCACTTCGAGAACATGGTCATAGAGGCTGGGAAGGGTTCTCGCATGTGGATTCAAGATGGAGACCCTTCTCAAAACAGCACGGCATCAAGGGAGGCCATGACAAGAGTCAACTCAGTTCTCCTGCCAATTCCACCGCGTAGTCCAGATATGAACCCAATAGAGAACTTTTTTGGAATTGTCAAAGCCCGTTTAAAGATGGACGCAATAGAAAGAAACATCGAAGTTGAAACAATGGACGAATTTGAGAATAGAATACGATGCATAATGAAAGATATACCCCTAAAAACTACAAACTCTATAATAGAATCGATGAACAAAAGAATGAAACTAATTATTGAAAATAGAGGGGAACGACTCAAGTATTGATTTGTAAACGTGTATATGTAGATTTTGTATTCTTCGATATGTAACACTTTATTGTGTATGAAATTATTGTTCTGTCTGAAATTAAACTGCCTCTGTTCAAAACAAAACTTCTAAAATGGCTGCTTTGCACAAGATTATCAAGTTTTACCCAAAATAAGGTGGAAGTTGCGTGTCTAACCAACAAATAAAAAAGAAACTACCAACGATTCACCAACGGTTCACCAACGATTCACCCACGGTTCACCAATTTTTTTTTGTTACCTTAAGTACTGGCTCTGACGGTTCACCAACGGTTCACCACTGTTTATAAAGAATACTACTATAAACCTTATATACTTGTGGTGAATCGTTGGTGAATCGTTGGATTCCGTACTTAAGCCTATAATTACTGGATGGTGAATCGTTGGTGAACCGTTGGTGGATCGTCATGAACGTCACCATCACGAAACACAAGTGACACACGAGTGCCTTTTAATTCAACAGGGGCCTGCGATACTCATTGGGAATGTGGCAATGAACAAACTTCTGTAAGCGAACCTCGAAATATCAAACAAAGCCTATCTATGTAATGGTATTATCATTTAAATTTTCATGCATGAAAGTACTCAATATAAAAAAGTTAGAAAGTAATCAATAACAACTAAGTTATATAGAATAACTAATTGAAAGTTATCAACTTGCAAAGAGTTGCGTGAGAGTTTCTAGGCATCTGAGCCGAGCATCAACAGTTCTGCAAAGCAGCGTTTGCATTTAGGAATGACTCTTACGTCTCTTTCCTCAATTTGCCAGTGAAAATTGAAGTATCTCCACCGACAGTCCATCATTTCATTCTCCCGCTCATCGGTGCTGTTGTAACGGCCAGGATACCGTATCTGTTCTTTTCCTGTTGCAAAGATGGGGGTGTCTCTATCGAACATAATGTCCTTGGCATAAGTGGACTTTGGGGCTGCAAAATGGATAGTTTGCCCCTCGAGAAGAAGCAACATATCTTGCCAGGCCAATATTTCTTGCGAGTAGCGAAAGTCATTCAAAAAGATGACATCTACATTCTCTGCGCCAAGCCAAGCATAGCTAGTACTGGCAGGATTAGTAAATACCCTGAACATATCGTTAAGGGGGTCGAGCATGAATGTTTTTCCGCAGTTTGCTGGACCCACAATCATGATATTACGATGTTTGCCGCGACCTTTCGTCAATAGCTCCCTAACAGCATCGGCAAAACTGAAGGCATTGACCCCATTGTTTCTTAAAACCTCTCTGGCACAGTTTAGCCACAAACCACCACACAGATGGGCACAAGGTTCCAAAAGAGCTTCCCTCACAATGGCCATTCGCGACATTGTATTGCGTGAAATAATAGCTGATGCATTTTGCATTTTCCACACACTCTCGATCAGCTCGTTTCTGCATTTGGCGGGTTTTCCCAAGACAAAGTTGGCCAGGTCCACCTTTCCAAGGTCTTTTTGCTCCTTCGCAAGAGCCAAAAGTGCGACGTCTTCCTTGATGTTTTCTTTAACTACTAGTTCGGCAACATCGAAATTCGACAGTCTCCGTGCCTTTGGCAAACTAGAAGGGCCTGAAATTACCAAGCCAGAATGTTCCTCTCTAGAACGAGAGCTGCCAGCTCGCATCTTACTGGATTTGGATGTGCGAGGTGAACGGCCAGAAGACAAATCAGGGTGCCCGGGGCTGTGCAATGCATTAGAATCTTCCTTTGTAACGTATTTATATGCACTGTAGTAGTTATGGTGCATCTTGTCTGCAAAGTGCACCGAAATTCCATGTGCGTGAAGTAAAAATCGTTTTGCAGCAAGCCACCGCTTATTCCCCGACAGCAAAATTGCCATGTGAAAATGAAAGCCACCTTGTTCCACCTGGTGCTGTTCCTCGCAGCATACCCAGTTTTTTACCGCAGCCTTGGAACTTCCCTGAGAAAATGCATCTACTATTGCATCTGCAAACGATTGTCTTGTTGGAAACTTTATCCTATCAGCCTGGCTATACGTGACGATATAACTTCGCCTTGCAGCTCTCGAATTAAGTTCACTTCCACAATCAGCGTCAGACATGGTCGGAAGTGTTTAAAGACTGATTGTAAAACCGTGTGTTGCGTTTCAGAAATTGTCCTGTCGACCCTTGCATCAATACTTTTAAAAGGTACGTACTTGTCAAATTAGAATTCCGAGGAAAATCCGCCGAAAAAGTGGAAGAGCCGCAAGGTACACTTCAGAAAAGATAATTGATGATTTCTTGATACCACGAAATCACGATAGCAAACAGTTCCAAAAAAAGTAAGCCGTCTCCTTATCTCCACAATACCTGCATGCAAACAGGATTACACCACCCAGAATATCTAACCCATTACTCTACCTTGCAGAGGTCACGGAAAAACGCACCCCAGAAAAGTCTGAACAGACAACAGAGTTACACAGACTCTCTAACTCAAAAGTATAAAACTAGCCTGGCTGAAGACACCCTTGGCAAAAAATGCTGAGACACTCGCAGAAAATTGAGCTAGTTTCAAATCATCCAGCCCCCGTCCCCCCAATTCAATGTTGTGATGAGAGTAATTCTGCTCGCGGTCATGCCCAGTTATACCGCAATCATAAAACCCAACATTGACATCGGGGGGAAGGGGGTGTGGGCTACCAGAGCATGTT